AGAAAGGCAAATAGTTTAGCCACACCCCCCCCATTTCTTCACACACTAATAATAACCAGCTGTGTGAAATCATCTGAGGAACATTCAAGCCACTTGAATTTGTTCACACACCCGGGGTGTAATTTCCTAGCTGTGTGTGAAGAAAGAGGGTATAGTAGGCCAAAGCTCTTCCAAGCAATTTCCAGTGAAGTTATTATATTACTGTTGCCCATCTCTCTTACGAACATTGGCTTTCCAATCAAGTGATCTTGAGCCTCCCAAACTCCCAGCATAGAAACCAGCATTTTCTGGGAAGAATGGGGGTATTGTAGAGTTGGGGCAAGAAGATAAATAGACCTGCTGTGTGTACAGAATCTTCCTGCTGTCAGGGTGTATATCACGTCCTGTACCGGATGCAATTTATTTTCAGAGACATACAGAGGTATCTCCCTGGAGATCAGGAACACAATCTGCAATGGTATTTACAGGATAAAATTTCATCTCCACCTATTAATTCAAATAGGCTGTCTGAAACTAAAACACATGCATTTTCTACTACAGTTGTGTGTTTAGGAAGGGGTATCAAACATATGGCCTGCATGCTGGAGCTATATCATCTGGCTTGCAGGCTCTTGGGAGACCAGGAATTCAAGGGCAGGGGCCACCACTGAAATCCAGGGTATGGAGCCCAGTTTGGGGGGGGGGGGGGTGGGCAGTGGGGAGTGATGGGGAGGAAGGAATAAGTGATGGCTGCTACCCACAAGGCTCCCTGCCACTGCTTACCTCACTACCTACAAGGAGCCCTGCTGTCTGGATCCAGGCCAGGAGACAAGGTGAGTTTGACACCCCTGGCTTAGGAGACTGCTCTTTCATCTCCAGCTGAAAATCAAGTTTGAATAAGCAGCCAGCTGAGCTCAGCAGTTTCAGTTTACCAGAGATTCATCTGTATCATAAAATTTAGCACACAGGAATAAAGAGGATGGTCTTTATAAAAGAAGGGGTTAGCAGCGTAACAGTGGAGAGAACAGCAAGGGAGATGAAAGTGCCCCAATAGTTACAAGACTCAAACCTGCGCAAGTGTTCTGTTTTTGGGTAGTGATATTAGCCTATTGGCATTCATATTCTAAAACCAATCACATTTTAAACACAGAGTTAAAACATGCTGTACAGCTCAGCGTCTAGCTAGTGGGCAGATACTGATGAGTTCATATTTGTGTGTAACCCTTTATTTTTCAGAATCAATACTACTATTTAAAAAAAAATGCCTCCCCACAGGAGGGCATTTCCTCCTACTGAGAAAAGGTCAGCAAGAATAAAAATGATGCTGTGTTCTTTTTGCACAAGAATATACTTGAAAGCTGGGGGCTCGCTCTGATGCAAGGAAATTATGTTTCTCAGAAATGTGGGTGTTGAAAATAAAGCCTTCAGATTTTACAGAAGTGCGTCACAAACTTTTGTAACAAGAAACAAACTGACCACAAAACTTTCACCAAAAAGCCTTTAGATTTAAATGCCTAGAAACTTGTAGCCTAATTATAGGGCACGGTATTTGGTGTCCAGGCTACGCTCAGGCATTCACGTCTAACGAGTTCATATCCTGCCCCTAACAAACGGTTTTGCCATGGACTTTAACAGGACCATGATCAGGTCCTAAACAATCATGCGGTTTATCACAGGCTACAGTCTTAAAGACCCCACAGTGGAATTCCTTAACAGAGGCATAGAGAGGCCTCAGGATCCAGAATTCTTTCAAAAACTAGTGCTGAAGCCATGCTATACCCTTTACAGGCACTTGAAATTGAGCCATCTCATAATACCCTTCTTCTCCCTCCCAGCCAGTGAGAGCTCCAATGGCCGGTAAAGAGGCTACACTATAGCTGAGTGATGACCCTTTACCCTTTCCAAATAAAACCATCTTGTTACAGCAGTCTAGTTCTCCATCTGGCTTGCTGTCTCATGTAGGCTCCTGGGAGGTTTTGCTGGCTGAGGGGTAGACAAGTATTCCAACTCATAACGCCCATTTTCAGCAGCCTCTTCAGGATCCAAGCCCCCTTCCCCTGCAGCCAGCTTTTTATTTTTTTTATGTTCAATGATTTGCTGGAGCTGGTGCCCGGCATAGTCTGGCTTGGTAGTTAGTGGATTTGTTGGCACAGTCAGTCCAAGGATGTCTGATACCATGTAGGGCCGCAGCCAGCCTACCAGTGGGGTACTGCCAGGAGTGTAGTGAGTTTGCTTGTGGTAGAAGAGGAGCCCATCTACCTGCAAGAGACAGAGTGGATAACTGGGCTGAGTTTGAATCACTGGACAAAAGGCATGGAGTTGTACATGAGAAGATCTGACAGCAAAAACCTGCCATGAGGCTTCCCAGCTTTACTCACCTTTGATCTTCATTCATTTATAAGTCAGAATGACCAGGCATATTATTCACTCATTTAAATGAAATAAACCAAGGAAAGGAAATCAGAAACCAAAGAGTTTCAATGCCGTCAGCCAGTTCCACTATTTGGATTCATAAAAAAGAAATAAAGGGCTTGCTTCAATTTGATCATTACAGAAGCAGAACAAACACACAGGCTCATGGCAGTCAATCTGCAATCACCTGTATTTTTAGTTTGGTTGCTATGACCCAGTTCTGTGAATATTCACCTTATTTTTAACACAGCAGCAGATAGAAAGGACATCTCACTGATTTTTTTTTTTGAAACAGCACATTTTGAAAGTGATGAGTCAGAGCAGATGACGCCATGGAGCTTTCATTCTTATACTGTTACCATTCTTTCAGCTTCCTCACGGTAAATAAATTCTTAATGAATCCCCAGAGGTAATAAGTGCCTTAATCTCTCACTGCAATCAATGGCAGATAAGGGCACTCAGCAGTTTAAAAGGATAGGGCCCTTACTCATGCTTCCACTTCCACTCACTGCAGTACTGCAGCTGGTTGACATTTTGCCTCTTTACCCTACATACCAAAGGATTTCTAACTCCCCCTTCCATGGATTCCCAGAGGTGCACTTTGTGGGCTTGGACCATACCTTGGGATTCCCTAATGTTTCAGGCAGTGCTCCTTAGCAAAGCTTAGTGAGCTCTTAAAGGCAATTTGTGCATGAAGACAAGAGGCTGACTCTGCAGAATACAGGGGAAGGGAAAGGTTTACTTAGTTATCAATCACTGTAAGGTTCTAGCAATATAATAGCAGGAAAAAGGGACTTCATTAGTAGGAGTAAACTGGGAACCAAAACAAGGACATTCATATTCTGCTTGGGTATAACAATGTACAACACTTCCTCAAATAATATAATGCACATGGAGAAAATAAAGGAGAACTCAGGAAGAGATGGTGCCTGCCCTACTATATTCTAGTGGTCCATACTTTCATATACACACTGCTAACACATTCTGATAAATCCAGCACTTGTTAAGAATGTACTCTGGCCATCCCATGACAGAGAGTCTTAAAGAACCTTTAGGCCTTTGAAAGGGAAGGAACCCAATTTCAATTCCATTTGTCCGATTTCACGACATGCTGGCTGAAAAATTATCAGCAGAGTGAGACAGCTCACATCTACTCTTGCGGCATTTTCTATTAAGTTCTTGCCACTTACTTACTTGTCCATGGTTATTTAATTTGCAGTTTGCCTCTTGACACTGAGTCATTGTACAGACACCAGCCAAATCAGATAGAGGGTTAACAATGGTCTGCATGGGAAGTCAGAGCACCTGGAAAACAAAACTGGATGGAAAGCTGGTCCAGCAGCCCTGAAGTTATTTATTTTTTTAATGACCAACATTTTTATGGTTCAAAATGAGACTCCTAAATAACAGCAGCCTGATTATCCAGCACATTGAGCACCTGCAGCTTGCAGGGATCTCAAATGAAATGTTCAGTGACTGCAGCCAGATTTACAACTGCCCAGCATTATGAGGCCTGTAATTCACTTCAATTTAGGTACTAACAGACGAATCCAAACTCGACTGAAGCTAATGGAATAACTTCCCTGTGGTCTCACGACAACGAGGACCAGACACAAATTTTGCAGGTATAGCTTATCTTCAAGGGCTCTGCTAGTGGTAGCCAAGCTCACAGACATTTGTAAACACAAGGCCATTTTAACTAGGGGTGCACTAATAGAGATTTTTGGGGCCAATAATAACAGCTGATTTTTAAGAACACATATCAGCTGATAACAATCCGATTTTCGATACCAGCTGGGCAGCTTGAAGAGCAGTGTCCAGCTGTTAAGTCTGGTGGGGTGGAAGGAAAAGGAGTGCAGATCAAGGCCCCTGTGGTGAGGTAGGAGTGAGGCTGGGGGAAGTGCTGCACAGCTGGGGTGGGGCAGGGGCAGGATGGAGCAGGGAGGGAAGGGGAAGGGGAAGGGGGGGTGCGACTCCCACCACTGAACACTACTGGTCCAGGAGCCGCTGGTGTAGTGGCTTGTCCAGCGCTTGCCTGCTCGCCTGGCAGCTTGTGCCGCTGCTCCCGCCACTTGTCCAGGAAGGCATGGGGGGTGGGGTAAAACAGCACAATTTAGTGGGATTTTTTCCTGGATGTTGTCTATAAGCAATACTTAAGTCTTTATACTCTTTAGTCCTAAGCAAATCTTCCTTCTTTTTTTTGTCCTGCTTGTGTTACTAATGTTACCTTACTGAGACTTCGTGGGCTCCCTCTGGTGGGATATTTGATACCAGCACTCTGTTATTTTTATTCACAAAAAACATGGTAGCCTATTTCTGTTAAGTTCTTGGCTTAGAAAGACAATTCCTAGGGTTACAATTAGAGCATAGCATGTTGATGTATTACCCTTTCACTGCTGGAAAACTGGAGACAAACTGGGATTCGGTTTCAAGGAAAAGTCTGATAGTCTCCTTTTCTCTGTCTCTAGACTTTTCGTGTTTCAGTCTTTCTCTGGTAAGAGCTCACGTTCTACTCCACCCCCAGTGCGGTTCCACATTCCACAGCTCCTTTCCAGGGGGAAGTTTTGAGGGGAGGAAATGAGCTTTCCGGCAAATATGTCACTGTGTCTAGTGAGGCAATCAGATTACTCATGTTTCAGCAGTTGAGTGAGCAGGTTGACTAAGAAATCGTAAACCCTTTATTGATGTTCTGTGCAGTCTATTCTTTATCAATACTGTGCAGTCTGTTCTTTATCAATATCTGGAGTAGGGTCTGGCAATGCCAGCCAGGGGGTTCAGACTTCCTATCTCATCTGATGATTCTTTGCTTTAAATGAGGAGATGGCAGTAAGTCAGCTGTTACCAGTAATCTAATATTTGCCTATTAATAGGGTTCATCTTGTATTTGTTTTCATTGCTGAAAAGCATAATAGATGCATCTTAAAAATTAATGGAGCATACGGCTTGGGAGGGTTGAGAATGCTGCTTATCTCCCTATCTATCAAGGTCCATCACTGCAGAATCTGAGCAGAAATGCAGATGAATTTATCCTTCTCAGACCCCCTCTGAGAGAGGGAAGCATCATTATGGCCAGTTTATAGGTGAAGAACAGAAGCACAGAGAGATTAAGTGACATGACAAGTGTCATGCAAGGAGATGGTGGTAGAGGTAGGCTATGAAAGCAGTTTTTCAAGTCTCAGGCTAAAATCTTAGTCACCAAGCCATTCTCCTCCATTTTGATCCAGTGTGAGGGAACTGCACTGCAGCTGAGTTGGCTTCCAGCACATCTAGGGAGCATAGTTTTTAAGTCAATAAGAAAAGATTCCTGGCCCACTGAGCAACAACCCCACTGAGGCTTTGCTTCCAGCATATAGACAAAGCACACTATTCCTAAAATCAGATAAGAAATGCTCCCCACTGAGCATAAAATGTAACAGTCTTACCAGAATTTAAAGTCATTTTTCAACCATTCCTACACAGCTCACTGCTGTAATGCCTTGGAGCCCCCACATGGTGCCAAGTACCCAATCCTCTGGCTGTAGGCTCAGTTACCTCAAAGGGGAAGTCCATGGCCAACACTTCACACAGGCTCTCTGGGGTGCAGGGGAAACTCTGCAGGTCCACAAATTTAAACTGAAAGAGTAAGAAGGGGTTTGAGTTACTTAATACCTTCCCTCCCACCCAAAACAGGACAACACATTGTATCACATGTTGCAAAGCTCTGGAAAGTGGAGATAAGGTGACAGAACTTAGCTGTCCAAAGGCGCTGCTTCAAGTCAACACAAAATGCTGTTGAAACACCCCCAAACAGCTCAACAGTTAAGTTACTTCTGCTTTGGCACAACAAAAGTTTCAACCTGGTGTCTCAAGTGCATCTTTTATGCCAGTAAACAAATGCATCATGGGCATAAAAGGATGCATTTGAGGTGAAATCAAGAGAGATGTGCCAACATCTACCTTTATTGAATTTGGTTCTTAGAATCTACCAGTAAGCATTGTCCAGCTACTAGTAACCACATCAGCATGGCTCCTTATTACTATTCACCTAGGCTCACAGAAGCGGTTAGTCTGAAGTCAGGTAGTCAGACATGAGCATCCATAGTTGACAGGCCTATCAGAAGCTAGGTGGTAAGCTGATGCCTACAAAAGCTTATACCTCTCTGAACCAGTAAGTGTCTAAGGTGCCACCCTACCCTGCTTAGCCCCGTAGGAGGTACCATATAACTCAGGCCCCCGCTTTGCAAAGTTATCCATCTGTGGGCCTGGTCTTGAAAAGTCTACCAAGTGCAGTGGTTGCAACTGAACAGAAAGGAATCACAGCATATGGTGGGCACTGTACCTTCCTGTCAGTGCCCACCAAATTTGTGGAAATAAGCCCAATATCGGTTTCTTTAGTGGAGGCATGGCAAAGAGGCTCCATGTTTAATGTCTTTGAGATCATGGTTCATCCATGCTTCAGCAACCATGATAGAGGAACAGGGAAAGCTTTTCAGAACCTGGAGCATGCCTAATCTGTGCAGGAAGAGTCCTGGCAACTTGAAGGGTGCCCTGCAAACAGGACTGACTGTTCAAGAACACTGAGCAGAGGGTGAGGACCTCTCAAGTTAGTCACTGGAAGCTGAGGATGATCAGCACTGCACAGAATCAGGTGCCAATACGGCACCAGTTCCTTAAACCTTGGGCAAGCTCAACAGAGGGAAGGCTGATGCTTTATGATTCTTTGACTTTGCCTCAAATGCCAGCTGTCTAACAGCAGAGATATCAAACATTTACCCTGTGGGGCTGAGAGATCAGGAATTTGCGGGTAGGACCCACCACTGAAATCCAGGGTATGGAGCTCCTTTGGGGATGCATATTGGCAACAAAAAGCAAGCAATGACTGCATTAACCCTCACAACCACCGCTGCTGCTTGCCTGAGCCCTGCAACTGTGTACAGCTCTGGCTCATGAGGAGCCCTGAAAGTCTGACACCCCTCCTCCAAAGGCAGGCAGGAGACAGACAGCAGGTGAGCCTCCCCCCTCACACCCAGGGCAGATTCCTATTGCAAACATGATGCCCATGAAGGCAGTCCCTGGGAAAACTTAGCTGGTTTTCTTTTACATCTGCATTTCAGTCAGGGAAGCTAAAACTGGTACAGAAGTCATTTAATACCCTGCGGTCTAGATCTTCTCCAACTCTTATTGGAAGGAATACAAATTTATTATTTTCTGTTCAGTTTACATCCTGAATATGGCATCTCATTTCATCAGAAGAACATTTTGTGGCCAAGCGGTGACAGAGGGGACAGGAAATCCCTTTGTGAATGAACATGATGAAACGCAGCTGGTACTGAATGCCTCTCCCTGTCTCTGGAAACAAAGGACGGACCTACTGGATTAATTCTACTTTTCTCTCCCAGACCTTCCTCCTCTTGTATCTTTGAGTGGATCCAGAAGAACCTGAAATCTGTCTGGAGAGGGAGAAGAGATATGGATTAGCGTACATCTACCCCAAACCACGTGAAATCTGTATCTGTGTTCCTTCCTGGTTTTCCAGCATCTTCAGACTCCACTGAACCCCAAATATCTGTAGACTCCTTTCTCCACTTTTCTCTGTTCAAAGGACCCCAAAGAACAAACAAAAATGTCTAGGCACTACAGAACCCAGCTGGCCTCCAAACTCCAACCCCTGCGGCTCTCCATGACCACCTTATTAGCAAAATGAAAGCAGAGAGTGTGTGTCCACCTCCACTTTGTTAATAAGTTAAACAGCTGTACAACTTGCTCAGCATCAATACCTGCAGCAAGGCAGCTCAGAGAATGGTGGCAAAATGAGACTCTCTAAAACAGGTGGGAGCTGACTGGGCTGGAAGGTTCAATACCTGACAGTCATAGACAGGGTGCCCCCTCCAACACATCACATCAAGGATGTAGTACGTCTGCTTCACCTCACTGTAGATGCAGTCCAGGATCGTGTATTCTGTACATACAAACACAGGCAGCACATGCAGGTAGCAATATACATGCAGGATCACACTCTAGGGCTCTGATGCTATTAGGACTTCCGAGACAGTTTGGCACAGAAAGACTGCCCAACAATCTGCAGAAGAACTAGCAGCTGGTTCTTTAATTCTCTTCCAGCTGTGAAAGCTGCTACTTTAGAGTCCAACATTGACTTAGCTCTGAAGGACACAGGAAAGAGACCATTCTAGGAGGCAACGGATGTGTGATAGGCAGGCTCCTGGACTGAAACATCAAACTAGGGAAAAACTACCAAGGCGAGTGGCCTAAACTAGTGAGTGTCCATGTACCTCCTACGTTTGAGATGGAAATGCATGGTCACAGAGATAACTTACGCACTATCCCCTGGAGAGCAGGACTCTGCTGGGGCAGGGTGGGGCTCTCTGGACAGAGCAGCACTAAGACAGCACCTGACTGGAGCAATATGCCAGTTCTCCCGCATCTATTCTGAGGGCCTCTTCAGATCATTACCTTTCCCACCTGCTGAATTGTGCCGGTTTCCTCCAGGCAGGAGAGAGGGGAACCTGTTGACACAGTAGCCACTCTTCGTGTAAGCTGCAGTGGAGCCCTACAAGAGAACAGAGAAATTGAAGCCCACCCTTGCTGCTTGTACACTGTAAACCATCATGTCCAACAGTACCAAGACTTAAACCCACAGGTCCAGCTTAACACACTGTCTGTCCCATCTCCCCTACAGGACAGAGCTATGTTAACAGCATCTGGGACCACTTTGGTGTAACTGGGTCCCCCAGCAAAGCCCATTTCAGACTTCCTTTCACTGGGGTTAGTAATAACACTCTCTGAGTTAATCTGAACAGAATCAGCCCCCCTTACTGTATGGAGAGTTCCCAGAATGCACACTAGTCTCTGACTGCATGAGCATCACAAAGACAGACTGACACAAACCCAGAGATATCCTTTACTGTGCTCTGTGGAGTGACATATCACCATCTCTTACCTTAGATGCCACAACCAGTGACCTCTTCCCTATGGGGCATACCACCAAGATCCATTCTTGTCCCAGATCTGATGGGACATCTATCAGCCATTCAGACAACATCAGCTGTGGAGAAAGCAGGGCAATGCAATTAATGACCACACTCAGCAAAGACCCACAGTTTTATACAGCTAGACCTAGAACAGGGGTGGGCAAAATGGTGGATCCAGCCCATGGCTGAACACCATTTCCCAGCAGCCCTGGCAGTGGCAGCTCCTTCTGGCTGCTGCTGCTAGAGTCAGACCCGCTGCCCAGGCATCACCATCTGCCCCACACTCACCATTAGGGGTGGGACCTGCGCAGGCATGGCGCATGGCTAGGCAGCCTATGCCCCCAGATCTGCACAGGGTGGGCTGCAGTCGGGGTTGCACGGGACTCTTCTCAGCGGGGACTGGCCTCAGAGCAGGTGCTGGTGGCACTGGGAGGATGCTGCATCCACCCCAAATTTCACTGCAGCTCAGCTCCCAGCACTGCCCTGGCTTAACACCCTGCCTCCACCCACGCACCGGGAAGGGTCCAGCCCCTGTTGAGAAGAGCCCCACACAGCTCTGGCTGCAGCCTGCCCCTGTGTGAATCCTGTGGGGCACAAGCCCCCTCTCCCACCTTATGCCCTCCCGGGGTGCTAGAAGTGGCAGGTGCTGCCCCCTACCCCACTGTGCCCACCCTGCCTGGGCAGTGCCTGCCCCTGCCCCTACCCCCTCCCTCACCGCAAGCAGGTGTTGATCTGTCCTCCCACACACCCTCCCTTCCACCACAACGGACTGCCCAGCTGGAGGCAGCTTTCCATACTGCCGGCTCTGTTCCTTGCTGCCCAAGCGCTGCGCTGCAGCTGCGCACAGCACAGGCATTTATGGGCTGGAATCTGATACAGCAAATTTCTTTCTTTATATTGGTACCGATCTGATATCGGTCCAGAAGGCCCAGCAGCCTCTAAACCTCTAGATTTTATCAGTGGTTTGGGTCTCCACTCTCACACATCGATTCCTCGGTTTTCATTCTCATCCAGCTGTAGGCAGGCACAGGCCCCTGCTGCCATTTTGCCATGAATGCATTCAACTACTGCCTAGCAGCCCCCCATGCCCCAGCTATGCTCCCCTGCCCTCGGCCCCTAGACTCAAGTCTGGGGTAGCCGCGTATTCCACTCATTCCCATGGCAGCAGGCTCTTGGTTTCCCTAGGTACAGATGCTCACCTGGTTCGCATAGTGCTTAGGCAACTTCTTGCCCGCATCGACATCCATATCCTCATCGTCCACATCTTCCCCCTCCTCCTCTTCCTCGCTCTCAAGTCCTGTCCAGTCGTCCTCTGCCAGTCTCCTGGCATGGTTCACGTAGTCCAAACGCTTCCTGGAAAGGAAAGCAGTTTCCCTCTTTGAAAGCTGGTGTGGCTGTTAATACCCTGCGTTTCCCCCCAGGAGCGCTGCCACTGGGTTGAGCTGGGCAATAAATGCGCTTGCTATGGGACCAGTTGCGTTTGGCCAAGGAGAATCGCCAGCTGGACCATCCCTGCACGAGCGAGACCTCGCTAGCACCAGGGCCGGGCCCTGGATGCTCTGGCAGCAGACGTCAGACCGCACACGGCCGCGTCTGTCCCACTGCCCCAGAGCTCGGTGCCGCAGGCGTTTGGCCTTTGCCTCCACGC